ACCTTTACTGTGTAAATAAATGAGAACATTTACTCTCATCACGGATAAATTATTAAAATCCCTCTGAAAATCAAGAAACCATTAAATGTACTTAGGTAATACCTCTGGAAGGACATGCCAGTAATTGAAACTCTGAAATTAAAATAAAGCCATAAAGAATGAGTTACTTCTTCTGATCCTTTTATAACAAGGTTTTGCCTGCAATTGGAGACTCACTTTCTTGGTAGCAATCAGAGGTGATATTCTGTCTGTTGGTAGTTTATTGAAATATGTAAGCATTATTTGAAAGGCATTCTCCTTGAAAGAAAAAAAGGATAAAAATAGAGGTTTCTATAAATCTTTTTCTTTCTTTAGACTTTTTCCTAACATAATGGACATGATTTGCCATATAATAATTGTTTTTCTGTTAACTGTAGAACATACTGTTAAAATCTCAATAGGATGAATTTATCTCGATGACACTCACATTTGAGTTTCCAAATCCTCTATACTGATGTTTATGGGAGGATTTTGATCAGATGTAGTTAGATATAGATAGGGATGTAGATAGGATAGATGGATAAGTAGATAGACAGGCTGATAGATAGCTTTTTCTTTCCTTTTTCTCAAAACACAAGTCAGACCTTAAAATTATGCACAGAGACCTCACTAAGACAAATGTGAGATAAAGCCTGGTTCCAAAAACTTTTTTGTTACTGATATAATCAGGTTAAAATGTACACTAAGGGCAATTATAAGTGAGAAAGTTACAGAATAGTAAAGGAGAATTTGACAGGGATCCACAGACCCAGCGGATCCTTGGGTGAGGGCCGTGATGAGAGTGAATGGTCAGGGCAGAGTGTAGGGCTTGGAACAAATATCTCAGTGGCCTCCGTGGTTACGGCTGACATAGATAAATGAGGACATAGCTCCATCCTGGGCTAGTTTTACTAGTTCACTTATGTCTCAAACCCAATTGTCTTGCATTCACAATCTGTTGAATGAACTTTTTTAGGAGACATGAACATTTTGAATTCTTGGAAAATGTTATTACTACCAGGCTGTCAAGAATTCAGATAGTGGCTTTAACCACATGGGAACATAAAAAGATGGAGTGCCCTTTAATGCACTATAAACACAGAAGATGTTTTCATTTTTTGTAATTCACTCTGAATAACTGCTTCAGACTATGTGCATTTCTTTAGAGATTGAGTCTAAGAATTTCTTTCATGTCAGATGCAAGAAATTAATTTTAAGAAACATTTTTTTCTTCTAAGTTGATACCCGTATACCTTAAACTAATTTCTTCTTAATGTTCTGTGATTTCTCGTTAGTGATACTAATTAAAAAGCAATTCCAACTCCACTCTAATAGGAAGACTTTGTCGTTCATTCTAAATTGTACTTGAGTTTAAATCCCAGTATCTTCATAGCCTCATACCTTCATGGTTTTGAACACATGTGATTCTTCCTTTCCCTAAATGTCTATAGCACAGTTAGTGTACTCACAGGTGGAATTATGAGATGGAGGCATCACAGATTGACAAAAATAACCTGGGATTTGGAGTCAGACACTTTGTAGCTGTGTGACTGTGGGCAAACTACTTAATCTCCATGATTATAATACTCCTTGTCTTTGAAACGAGACTAAGACCCAGCCTACAGAGCTGGGTGCCCTTGAACATCTTGAGCACCTGGTAGGCATTTGTAAATAACAATGAATATTTATTATTTCTGTCTAATGATATATCTCATTTAACATTGTCTTAACTTTTACTTTAACTGTTTTTAGCTTTTCACTTAATATGGCTATGATTATATCTTTGGATATTCTAAAATACAACTTACATATTACAGGTGCTCTAAACATTCATTCATTCATTCATTCATTGGCTTCTATTTGTGTCTGAATGTACTGGGTGCTGAGGATGCAAAGATGAATGAGACAGGTCCTTGCTCTTGTCCCCTTCTACTGTGGTAGCGTTTTCAAAGCCACGTGTAGTAAGATTTGACTCTATGTATTTACTTCATTAACCAAATGCTCTTTCTTATAAATCACTATCAACTGAACAGTGTCAGCATCGAGAGCTATCTAGGGAGTGACTGGTAGGGGCCACCCCTGCTGAAGTACAGCCGTAGTTCATGACAGCCAAGACTCGTGCTCTGTAAGCACTGAGTTGTTGGCTTAGGACATTACTTAGCTGAACATCTAAGACCTTTCTGGAAAGATGAGAGAGAATCCCTTTAATGTGGGGATTCAGATAACACAGCCTGTGTGTCTCCTTTGTCAGTTCTAGTGATCAGTGCCAACGTCCCACGAATTCACTAGAAACCCCCCAGACAATATTGAGGCATTTAAGTTCAATATAAAATATATTCAGTTTACCACTTAACTTGAATTTGTTAAAGTTTCTAAATGGGAAATTTGCTCAATTAAACTTAACCTTTAATGTTATTAACATTCTTGTAATTCCTTTGTTCAGAGACAGTTTCTTAAAAAAGAAAAGCAAATTCTATACCCCATCCACTTTGATTTGAGAAGTGCTTTGATTGGAAAAAAAAAAAAAGAGCCCTATCTGCCTTATTTTCTCTTTGAGCAAGATCCTTGGCAATATGTACCTCAAAGGGTTAATATCCCTAATATTAATATTCCCAATTGGAAGGAATCCTACCAATTGATAGGAAAATGATAAAAATCACAATACAAAATTTGACAAATGATACGAATGGGCAGTTCACAGAAAAGGAAATCCACATGGTGAAAGTAATGCAAGTAAAAACAATTGAGATGCTATTTTTCATCCTTTAATTGGCAGATAGTAAAAAGGATATCCAGTGTGGATAAGAACATACAGAAAGGTCTTATGCACTGCTGGTGTGAGTGTAAATTGCTACAACATTTTCAGAAAGAAATTTTGTAAAAACTAATAAATACATAAACTCTTTCACCTAGGAATCTTGCCTGTAGAAATAACAGCACCTGTAAGTAAGAATACTTAAGGATATATGCACAGTAATTTTTGTTTGTGGTAGCTAGAAACTGGAAAGAATCTCTTCATCAGTAAGATAAATGGTTGAATTAATTATGGCATATCTGTAAGTCAAAATATCATGCAGCTGTGAAAAATAATGCTAGAATAACAGTCACTGATCCAGAGGGAGATACCCAAGATGTTCTGGGCAAAAACAAATTATTGAGTAATGTGTATAGGATTTATTTTAAAAAACCCATGCTCTCTGCTTATATATAATGAATGGTTTATATATATATAATATAAGTTTTATGTATTTGTATAAATACATTTATAAGTCCTTTTTCTGTTACATATTTATGTTAACAAGGGGGAAAATGTGGAAAGCTACATCTCTAGTGTTAACATTGGTTACATTAGGAAGCAGGGATAGTGATCTCTTTTTTCATCTTGGTCTTTTTTATTTGTTACAATGAATGCATATTACTTTTTAATTAAAAACATCAATGGGGAAAAATTTTTAAAAAGAGTCATGGGTGCAGTTGAATTATTAGAGCTTATAAGTATTTGCCTGGGGAAAAACCTGGTTTATAAATTCACTATTACCTTCTGCAAATCTGATGACATTTTAAGACTTCATTGTTTCACGGGAGAAAAAGATTCCAGTTTATACTACTACAAAAGTGTCCAGGTTCAGATTTAACTATTTAGATGATTCGTCTATAAGTCAGCTTTCCACAGGACTGAAGATGGAAAAAATACGCAGCATCAGCAGTGAAGGAGTCAGCCCTAGACATCAGACATTTCCTCTTTCCCTCTTTTCTATTTGTTAATATTCTTCATCTCTTTAAGCCAGTCTTCCATTCCAGACTATAAGTCCATTTTCTCCCCCAGTAAAATAAATTCTTAAATTGTACTTCTAGAAACATTTTATTTTTCTACTTCTCCCTTGGACATTTTTCTCTATCTTAATTTAATTCTAAGATAAAGGGATTAGATTAAGCATGACACAGATATTTACTGAATACCCTCCCTGTGCTGAATTTAAGAACCCAGACACGCTTTTTTGGAGAATGAAGAAAGTAGGTGTTTTCTGTTTATCCAAGATATCTACGTCTCTGACTTAGTGATGACTACTGTTTTTCATCAATTTCTAGGACATAAATATTTCTTAATTTAATATCTCTGAAATTGGGAGGCTTCTTAAAATGATGGTGTGCTATGGTTTAATTGTTAGCTTCATGTCTTAGAGGTACAAGAATATAATGGTACATCTTATGGCCAATGGCACTTAGATTTAATGAAATACGATAGAGATTGGGGAAAATGGAGACAGCAGAGTATATTCAGAATACTGGATTTGACCAAGGCATTAAGCTCAGGTGATGTGGGACAGAGGGAAAAAAACAGAACAGAAGGGGCAGTAATGTAGTATCATCCAAAGGAGTAGGATTTCCCTGTGCCTCAAATGGTGGTCATTTAAATAAGAAAGGGGGATTTGAGGATACAGAGGCCAGTAGTTTGAATGTGGAGTCTTGTCTCCTTTATTGCTTTCTCCATTGCATAGAGGAAAACTCAGTGTAAGGGCATAGAGACCAGTCTTTAAAATAGGGAAACTATAACCGTGCAAGTAGAGGATCTTAGAAGAAATCTCAGGAGAAAAGCTTGTACATCAAAGTTGTTTAAAAATTATTTGATAATCTTGTGGAATCTGTGTATGTTGTATGTTCAAAGTTCTTTTGATTATTTTATTTTGGCAGATGGGGAGGTAAATTAGGTTTATTTATTTTTGGAGGAGGTACTGGATTTTGAACACAGGACCCTGTGCATGCTAAGCATGCGCTCTGCTACTTGAGCTATATCCTCCCCCCTCAATAGTTCTTTACAGTGAAGCATTTTAATAAATGATTGATGATAAATCAAAATCATACTCTATAGGAAAGGTTAGGATAAGTATCGTTTCGGTTAAGATATTATGCAAACAGAATGACAAATAAATACATATTTCTTTTTTATTATTAATATTGTGTATTACTTTAGTGTAAAATATTCTCTGCATTCGTTTGTTGCTTTATTTCTTGGCCAGGTTCAAATTCCTGGGATAGGGTTATATTTAATGCCAATGCTTTCATTAGGCAAAACCCTTTGGAATGCATTAAACAGAATTAAAAATCTTCCATTCACTTACTTGAACTCCAAAAGGTTCACTTCATGGCGATAATCCCCCTGGACCATCTTTAAATTTGAAGTTTGCTCAGAACTGGAAGCCTCTATCTTTCCTAAGAGCTGTGTTACCTAAAGAAAGTACAAAAGGGAACTTTTGTGTGTGCGAACAACACCACTAGCACTTACACCTTAATTATACTTTATTCCTAAAGGAGCCAGGGATAAAGATATGAGCCTAAAGCAAATTTGCATTTGAAAATGATTTTTTTCAAAGGAATGATTCAACAATTATAGCACTATCTTCAGGGGAAGGACAAAGGGGGAGTGTTCTGTTCTGCTGTCTGTAACAGTCTTTTTGATAACAGACTATGTGATGAGATGACAAAATGGACTATTAACATTGGTTTATCAATTTGTTAATTTGATTATTTCTTTACTTTCTGTCTCCCAGGTTGCAATGTAAGCCACTCTGTCCTCTATCACCACTAGATATCTAGGTGCACATTAGATGACCAATGGTCAGTGCTCACCAAATAACTTACTGAATAAATGCTTAAATGTACAGTTGGGCTCTGTGAAGAAAACACATGAGTGGCCTAAGGTCAGGCCTCAGAAATTTCCAAGTAGGATTCTGACAGGAGTATAGGGGAAGGCCAAGTGAAATGACCTAGGGCGTATAAAAGCAGGAAGACATAAGTTCCAGGTTTGGGAGTTAGGATAAAAGTGCCTTCCACATTGAGGAAGTTCTTTAGGTGACAGGACTGGATGGGGAAACAGACGCAGAATAGCAGCAGCCCGTAATCATGTCCATGCAAATGAAACTACACGGTTACCTTCAGTCAAACAATTTAACTCCTGAAAGAGACGGTCATGTGGAACTCAGTGGTACTTAACGAAATTTGAGTTCTCTTGGAAAAGAAAGAGGTGAATAATGGAAGGGTTTGAACAGACAGATGTTGGATGGGCAACCGATACCACATGAATGCTTATTTATAGGAGATACACTCAAAACAGTGTATTTATAGGAGGTACACTCAAAAGCAGAATTGTTAGCAATGAAAGATAGGGAAATACGAGCCTGGAAAAGCAAAGGCAAAGAAAGCAGGCAGAGCAATGTCATTAGACAAAACGTTCCGCAAGGCAAGCTCTGCTAAAGGGGGCAAAGACGGTCATTTAAAATCCACAGTGAAAAACAGTTTTGAATCCTTATTTACCTTAAATATTGGAAGGCAGCTATCTAACCACTAGACCACCAATGCTTCTGTTTACCTTATATATTGAACTAAAAAGCAACAGTTGTAGAATTATAAGGATAAACTAACAGAGACAATATATTAGAGATTTTAAATGAAATCTCTTGACTCTTACTGGTCAAGTAAGTAAAATATAAATAAATATATAGGAAGATATGAAAAAGATAGTTTATTTAATAGATTTACATACCAAACAATCTAACTTACAAACAGCAAATATTCATCCTTTCCCAGTGCCTACTGAGCATTTGTAAAAACTAAGCAAACATGACTGCAGAGAAACTCAAATTATTCCAAAAAAGCAGGAAAAGCAGCCAACTATACTGCACTAAAACTAGAAATGAATAAATGGATAAAGAAACAAAAATCTAACCATTTGAGTAAAAGAACACTTTTTAAATTCTGTTTTTAATTTCAGTGTTTCACATGAAAATGTGCCTCTCAGGTCACATATAAGTAGCATCTTACAGCCAAAGGCCTTGACTGCTGTGCCCAAAACCCATCACCCTGTGTTGAGGCCATGATTCCCACTGGCTGCTCCCAGTGAGTGAGCTATAGTCCTTTGATGAGTGACTCTGGTTCAAGGAACTAGATGAAGCTTCGTTAGAATGGCATTGCAGCCTAGGACCTTCCTCTGCTGTCTTTTTCACAGGAGTCAGTTGCACTGCAGTCGGATAGCTCTCTTCATCTCCTTCAGTTCCCTCCCCATTTTCCTTCACAGTTTTTTCCCCTCAATAAATCTCTTGCACGTCTACTTCCTTTATGGCATTTGCTTTTCTAACACAAATGTCAAAGAGTACATCAGTGCTGCAATTACAATTTACTTAGGAAAAGATAATGAGAATATCACATATCAAAAGGACATAGCCACATCTATAATCAGAGGTAAATTTGTGACATTAAATTTTTCCATCATTATACAAGACAGAATGAAGTTAGGTATAAACTTGCCATTCATGTCACAAAGTTAAAAAGAGAAAGACAAACCTAACCAAAGGAAAGCAGGATGAAGAAAGTGACAAATTGTGGTAGGCAGGATGGCTCCACTGAGGTGTCCATGTCCTCATCCCTGGAACCTGTGAATGTGTTATACTGGAGGAACAAAGGAATTTGCATCTGTAATTAAGGTTTACAGACCTTGAAATAAGCTGTAATTCAAGCTTTACAAACCTTGAAATAGGAAGATTATCCTGTCTTGTCCAAGGGGGCCAAATCTAATATGAGCCCCTAAAAGCAGAGAACTTTCTCCAGCTGGAGTCAAAGAGAGGCAACAGCAGAAGTAGTCAAAAGATTTGAAGCATGAGATGAACTTGACCTGCTCTTGCTGGAGAGAAGCTCCATGGAAACAACGAGACAGACAGCAGGCAGCTGGGGGAAGTCTGGTTCCCAACTGAAAGCCAGCAAGGACCTCAGTCCTGAAACTGCAAGAAACTGAATTGAGCCAAAACTTTGAATGAGCCAGAAGGAGTATTCATCCCCTGAGCCTCCCCAAAGGAACACAGCCATGCTGATACCTTGATTTCTGCCTTGGGATACCCTAAGCAGAGGATCCAGTCTAGCCTACCCAGACTTTTACCTACAGAAACTGTAAGGTAATACATTTGTGTTGTTATAAACCACTCAGTGTGTGGTAACTTGTTATGGCAGCAACAGAAAACTGATACACAAACATTTAAAAAAATGTTTAAGAAACAAAAAATTATGAGATTGATACTTAAGTCCAAGGGCTGTTTTTTTTTTTTTGAAAAGGTAGTTTGTCTTACTCTAAATATGAAGAAAAGAGAGGACACATAAATATTAAAATTAGGAGTAGGAAAATAAAGAATAGTTATAAATACCTATGATCCAAATAACATAGCAAGAACATTCACAAAGCTGAAATTATAGATATAATGGAAGCCCAATAATTATGAGACTTTTATTCACTTTTCTCAATCCAAAGTAGGAGACCAGAAATAAGGATTCAGAAGACCTAGCCAGTATGCTGTTTTTTGTGGATATTGACTGACCTTTGTCCCTAAAAATATGAAATATATATTCTTTTGAACACACACAAAATTTTAGTATCCAACCACCAAGTGAACCCCTCAAAATATTTTAGAAACTAAAACTGGTATATAGAACAGATTTTAATTACAGTATGAGAAAACTAAAAATGAATACCAAAATAACAAAACAAAAAATCTTTAACTCAGGAAAAAAAATCAAAAAACAAAAGAACCCTAACAACTAACTCTTAACTATTCAATCAAAAGAAAAATAGGCAATTGCAGAATTTCTGGGAAATGTCCAACCGTAGGGGGTGTAGAATTAAAGAAATAAATGAATACTTGGGGAATGTTCATAGTCATAAGTGCTTATATCAGTATAAAAGGAAGATACAAATATTTATGGTTCAAAAAGTTAGAAAATAGAAAACTGCAGGGGAGGAAAAAATAATAAAAATAAAAGCTTAAACTGATGAATTGGAAAACAAAATGGAAGTAGAATTAAAAACATAAAAAGTCTGGTTCATTGGAGAATAATCAATGTAATTACTAAGGCAAAATGAAAAAAAGAAAAGCACAAATAAACAAAATTATAAATGGCCAGGGGAGAAATACAAGTAGAAGGAATTAAAACAATCCTAAAAGCATTTTGCAAAACTTTATGCAAATAAATTTTAAAATCTGGATGAAATAGATTTTTTTTCCAAGGAAAAGTAATTTACTAATGCTCAGCCATGAAGAGAGAACGTTTAAACAGACCAATTCCCACAGGAAAAAAACCAAGCAAATGTACCAAAGGATTCCTTTCTCCACAAAATCATTAGGCCCAGACACTTTCAGAAGCTAACAAATCCTTAATGAATAGATAACTATAATGTTCTTCAAACTATTTCAGACCATAGAAAAAGAAGAGAAATTTTCAAATTATTTTTATAAAGTCAGTGCCAACATTAATTCCAAAATCTGAAAAAGATTGTACAAAAATGCTCTTGGAGACTCATTTATAGACTTGCTGTTAAATTCTTAAGTAAAATATCAGTAAATAGTATCCAGCAGCACAGTTGAAAAAAGCATCATAATCAAGTACAGCTGATTTTTTAAAGAAGTAAGGATTGTTTAATAATAGGAAATGTATTAACACAAATAGTTATGCTAGTGTAGTTTAGAAGAAAACTGACTTTATCTGCACAAATGCCAAAAAGGAATTTAACATAATTCCTAATTATTCTTTCTAAAAAATTAAGATATAATTGACACCTAAAATCGTATTAGCTTTAGTTGTACAACATAATGAGTTGATACATGTATATACTGTAAAATGATTACACAGTCACTTAACATTCACTGCCTCACATAGTGACAATTTTTTTTTTCTTGGAATGAGAACTTTGAATATCTACTCTTTTAACAA